AGTTCATGTACCTATTTGACCCTTTAGCCTAATTGGCCACAACCGCTTGATCGCTTCCATAAAATTTGCTACCTAAACAGATAAAAACCAAGACCAGTCCACCATCCCAGAGACAAAAACAACAGTAACAAGAGAGTACTTAAAACCCAGATAAAAGTATCTGAAAAGATGTAACTAGCAAATTTGCAATCATCCTATGAACTTCTCCGCTCCACCCTTATTTTGATACATATGTAGGGTCTTCATTAGTGTGTCAGACGAGCTACAAAGTTGCAACTCCATGTTGCTATTGACAGGCTCCTCCTGCTCATGGTCTATTCTCCTGTGCTCCTACTCAACATTTTCACATGTCTGCACCTGTGCTTTTCTAGTAGCAGAATCATTCTGTCCTTCAATATTTGAACCAATCATTGCCTCCTCTCTACTTTGAGACTGTCCCTTACCAGTCGGGACTAGCCACCTGTTTCCTTTAGTTTGAACTCTCCCTTTAGTAGCTCTCAGCCAAGTCCCAAAGGGTTTGTCCCCCAACCTCATGCAGCCCTCAGGATTACGAGGACAATACTTCTCAACATGTCCGATGATTACCACACAAATAGGGGTGGAAATAGGTCAGCCGACCTGTCAGGGACCTATGGTCTGGCCTGTTAAAAGCCTGGTCTGGCCTGTTTAGCAATCAAACTAGATTTGGGCTTTTCAAAAAGCCCGTTTATCTAAATAGGTCAGGCCTAGCCCAACTCTGAAGCCTTTTTACCTTAACAGGCCGACCTATTTATATGTGTATATATATGTATGTATGTATATATATAACTATATAGTTATATTTATATTTATTTATATTATTTATATTTATATTGGTATACTCAACTATAACAAAATCGGTATAATAGTGTTTTTAGGGAGTGTGTATTATAAATTAGAATAGAAATTCAGGTGTTAATAGTTTATTAAGGTAATTGAAATTCAAAGTTTTTCAAGATTCAAAGTATATAGAAATTTATAAACTACATAATAATACTCCATAATAATGTATTATTAGACATCCAAAGCAAAAATAAAGTATTATTAGACTTTTTAGTGAATATTTGGGGAATAAATTTTATACCGGGTTAAAAAGATTTTTCACTTTTCATTTTTTATTTTTTTGAAATTTTGATTTTTTTTCTTAACAGGCCCAGTAAACAGGCTTCAGACCAGACTTTTTAACAGGCCAGGCCCATGCTGAAAAAACAGACCTTTAACAGGTAACAAGCCAGGATCAGGCCTACATATTCTAAAACAGGCCCGGCCTGTTTAGGCGAAAGCCTGGCCTGGCCTGGCCAATTTCCACCCCTACACACAAGAAACAAGAACTAGGCAATTTCTCATAACAAAAATTAACACAAAAATTACCTCCTTTTTGCAAGAACAGTTTCCTTTTCAAGGGTCTACTATGATCCAAGCTGACTCTTATCCTTATGAAAGGATTCCATTTGACAGGAAAATTATATTCATCAACCTTAATGAATTTCCCCAAAAAAATCTCAACTTTCAGAACATTGTCAATAGTAAAATATCTTATTGGTATGTCATGAACATGTATCCAAAACCCCACTCTATTCAAGGGAATGGTCATAGACAAGATTTTGATAAGATTTTGATAAAAAAAATCTTAGGGCCTCCCTCCATTACACGAAGCATACATTCTCATTATAGAACTGAAACATATAGCGTCTAGCCCCAACTCTGTGATAGTAACACCTTTTACTAATCTCCACACTGATGCCATTGTATCACAGGAAGTTGAGAAACGTATCGATTTTCCGAAGTAATGGTCCCAATGAGCGCTAGACCCATGTCTGCCACCCCAATTGTCCTGGCCTCCCCTAATATAGTCTCATGATCTTCATCCATCTCCATTCTGCCGTAAGCCTGAGCCAACTTCTCCACCTCGCTCTGCTCGTGAGTCGCATCCATCGTTTGGCCAAAAGGCACATCCACCTCGCTCGTGAAAGTAATCTGCCTTGTTCCTACGAACGTCCTCAGCAAACTTCTCCATCCAAGCCAAACAAAATTGTCGCTGCTTCAGATTACTAAGTGCAAGAGCCTTTCGACAACCTACTCGACGGCCAAGTAGAGTCGTCGTCCAGTAGGTTACAATTTCTATCCTATGGATAAACCCTATGCACCTGTCCGCTAGTTGGGTTAGACTTATTTTTGGCAGTTACATATTATTTTTGCGAACTTTTTTATTTTTTGTTCACAGTTTCACTTTTAGTACGTTTATTCTATAAACATAATTTTAGATTTTCACTTTTATTATTCTTACTTTTTTTTCTTTTAACAAACTACTCCCTCCGTCCCGGAAAGAACTTCACCATTTGACTTTCACACACTTTATGCAAGTAAAAGTGGGAAGTTGACCTTCCCAATATACCCTTGCAGGGAGTTAGTGGCCGGCTTAGGGGAATGAGGGGAAAAATAAAAAATGGGGGTAATGAACAGTGGTAGGGGGACAAACACTGCAACAAAAAACAATAAAATCAATTAAAATTCTTGATGGGATGGAAATTAGATATACTCATTACATTTCGAGCATCTAGAGCTTCTCCCCTGCGTATCACCACACACTTTACACAGTTTGGCTCCAATTTTTTTTACTATTCACCCAATTACAAATTTTCCCTCCATCCATTTCTATTTATACTACCTTAACTACAACTACAAGAACAAAAAACTGCATCCGAACTCTCCAATGGCATAAAGAAGAAATGAAGAGCGCAGATGGCAGTTTCACCCCGCATCCGAACTCCCTGAATCTGTAGAAACAACAAATAGGTCAGAAAAATCACGCTTTGCCAAGCTAACAAATGCTGAGAGGGGATGCATAATACAGATTCTTTTAACTCATTGCACAAATGGTAAACTTCAGAGGGGCATAGCAATTAACACAACACTGAAGTACAACATTTCAAGGCGCACAGTCAACAACTTGTGGACAAAAGCAAGTAAGCAAATGGTAGAAGGAAAGTGCATCAATGTTGACAGCATTCAAAAGGGAAATGTAGGTAGGAAAAGGTTAACAGTTAACTTGGAAATGATCAAGGACATCCCACTTCATAAGAGAAAGAATATTAGAGCTTTAGGATATGCCATGCACATTTCAAAGTCTAGTGTGCACAGACTGGTAAAAGGGAAGTATATCAAAATGCATTCAAATGAAATCAAACCCTTGTTGACAGAGGTGGGAAAATTGAAGAGGTTAGAATTCCGTTTAACACACATTAACTGGCCCAATATCCAACTACCCCCACTTTTCATCACTTTTATGATTACCTTCACATTGATGAAAAGTGGTTTTTCCTGTCAAGAGAAACCACTTCCTTTAACACTCACCCGAGTGAAGAAGATCCTTACAGGTCAGCTCAGTCAAAAAAAAATTATACCCAAAATCATGTTTTTAGCAGTAATGGACAGACCAAGATTTGGTGACACTGGGGAGGTATTATGGGATGGGAAGATTGGGATATTCCCTTTCACTTTTGAAGAAAAGGCAAAGAGATCAAGTAAGAATAGATGTGCAGGCACATTAGAAACAAAGCCTACTCTAAGTGTCACAAGAACTATGATGAAGGAAATGATGTTGCAAAATGTACTGCCTGCAATCAAGGCCAAATGGCCAGATGCACACAATAAAAGGGTTATAATTCAGCAGGACAATGCAAGACCACACATAGATGCCAAAGATGAAGACTTTCTTAACAGTGCTACACAGAATGGATGAGACATACAACTGACATTCCAACCACCTAATAGCCCATATCCTAATGTCTTATATTTGGTCTTTTTCAGGGCTATAGACACAATTAAAGAACAGAAAGCCCCAAAACAATCAGGCAGTTAACAGATGCAGTGTGTACAGCTTATGATGAACTCACACCATCAACTTTGAACAAAGTCTTCCTCAGCTATCAATATGTCATAGAAGAAATACTAAAGCATAAAGGTGGGAATCATTACAAGCTGAAACATGTAGACAAAGACAAACTTGAAAGACTTGGGTTGTTACCCAAAAATGTACAAGTCACCCCTGAAGTAGTACAAGAAGCAAGAGCAACATTGCTTGAAATACAAAAAAGAGGGACACAAGCAGAATGACATGCCTAGGGAGGTGTAAGTTCATAAGTGAAGATCATGATTGATCTTCAAGAATGAACTCAATTTTGTTTTTTTTTTTGTATGTACAGCCATAGGTGGCAAAAGTGCATTATTTTTTGTATGGACACAATGGGAGGCAAAAGACACTTTTTGTAGAGTACTGACATAGGCGCCTGCAGTACTTAATTTTTGTATGTACAGCCATAGGTGGCAAAAGTACAATATTTTTGAATGTAAAGCCTTAATTTCCAAGTCAATGATAGTCCTTTATTATTGAATGCACTGTCTAAACATTAACATTGCCATCTAGCTTGGCCTCCATCACTTATTTCAAGTGGGTGGCACAAGCTTCACAAGGTTTACCACAAGATAATCAACTACACCCTACTGTTTATGAGCATACTACCCCCATTCATCATTAGTTCATGCATAATAGATCACACTCACTTCAATGAAGTCATGCATCATATAGATCATAATACATATAGGTCAATCAGGCATCATACAGGTCAATGACCATGGTTATCAGCACAGTCAGACTGAAGACACTCAGGCATCATATAGGTTAATCTCCATGGTAATCAACACACTCAGGCATCAAATAGGTCAATCACCATGCTTATTCAACACAGTTAGGCATCATATAGGTCAATGACCATGGTAATCAACACACTCAGGCAGAATATAGGTCAATCAGGCATCATATAGCATCATATCAAGGCAGTAGTACATCGAATTGATGAAAGAAAATGATGCATAACAGAGGCTACAACACACTAATATAAGCTGAAATGGAAACATCAGCTAAGGAAAAGGCGAATGAGGCATACATGGTTAAGCAAAAACAACAGAAATTGTATTCATCACGTGCATCGGTTCAGCTAGAGTTTTTAACAACAATAATACATAAAGCAACCACCGTACATCACAACTTTAAGAAAATGAGACAAGGTTACAGGCTTCCCCCAGAAAACGGCATCCAAGGACGACGACGATCGTGACCGAACATATGGTCTAATGGATCTGGAGACCATGGCGGCTTTGAGGTCACTTCTTCCCCGTCTAACTCTGGAAATCCCTCGTACGTGTCCTCCACGCAATCAGAGCCCCATTTCTTGCGTATAGCCCATCCAGAATCAGTTACTGAACTCCTACCCCTCATTGTCTCTGATTCGGTCAAGTCCTCATCGATGGCCGGAGCCGGATTCGGAATGGTCACCACTTCCCCAGCCGGCTTAGGGTTTGTAGCATCATCTTTCAAATCAGTATTGGGAGACTTATTAGATTCAACCGGTTCTGGTAACACATTCGCGGAATCAGTGGAGGCCATCGAATCGAAGAACCAGAGAGACCGAGAGGCGTTGATGAAGAAGGGAGATAGAGAGATAATGAAGAAGGAGAAAGACGTATGAAGGGGATAGGTAGAAAATGCGGCCAACAAAATAAATGAGGGAGTAAGTTGTTGAGGGCATTTAAGCCATTTCAACCACAAAAACTTTCCATTTATGGTAATGGGAAGTTAAATTTGGGACAACCAAATAAGGAAAGTGGTAAGTTGTTTCAGGGATGGAGGGAGTATTTTCTCTTTTTGATGTATTATTTTTAAAATTATTTTCATCTTCCTAATTATGTCTCTTTTCCACTTTTTCTTTTACACTACACTGTATATTAACTTCATTATCTTCGTAAAATCACAAAATGCCTAATAGGACACTTAAAAAGAAAGAAGTGAGTATAAGAAAGTTAATTGTGTCATCTTATAAAATAATCATCTTATTAAGAACAAGCTCAAAAGTCCAATCATTTGACTGGACAATAACCAATCAATTGGTTGCCAAGTTAACCTTCACCCATAAATTTGGGACAACCAAATAAGGAAAGTGGTAAATTGTTTCAGGGACGGAGGGAGTATTTTCTCTTTTTGACGTATTATTTTTAAAATTATTTTCATCTTCCTAATTATGTCTCTTTTCCACTTTTTCTTTTACACTACACTGTATATTAACTTCATTATCTTCGTAAAATCACAAAATGCCTAATAGGACACTTAAAAAGAAAGAAGTGAGTATAAGAAAGTTAATTGTGTCATCTTATAAAACAATCATCTTATTAAGAACAAGCTCAAAAGTCCAATCATTTGACCGGACAATAACTAATCAATTGGTTGCCAAGTTAACCTTCACCCGTGGCATGTTAGGCGGCGAGACACATAACTCCACGTCGGATATGTAGATATAGCTTTAAATGAAAAGAAATTATCCTAAATAGGATCAAAACATAGATAAAAAGCCAAAATAGGAGTTATCATGTTTTATTCCCATTATAGGACTCATACACTCCTCTCCCGACTTTTTATCGTTTCTGCAATGTCCAAAAAACCCTTGTTTTCCTTGTCGCTAGATCCTTCTCTTATTCCTCATCGCCGCCTCAACATTAAGCTGGTCCTCATCGCCGCCTTCAACATTAAGCTGGTCCTTCTCTTCTCCAGGGATGTTTAAAATTCCCAATTACTTCTTCTGCTCATCTTCTAATCTTTCTGTACCTCCATCTCGATTTTCTTTATCAGAAATTTCACCGACCTATCTCTTCCCCCATCTTCCCCTTCTCTTCCGTTGAGAAGTTTCATCTTCCAAATTAAAATGATGGTGACACCAACTTCAATTTTAGATTCTCAGGTATTACTCTTCCTACTATTTCTTTTCCCACTTCTTCCCCTTCTTCTTCTTCGATCTTCTTCTTCTTCCTTTATTTTAAAACAAAATATGTTATGTTTGTCATCAAGTTGTCATGAACATGACATTTACAAATGTATAAGACATGACAGTCGCTCTTTCTTCCACTTTATAAAAAATGTCATTTTTATTATGAAAATGTCACAAAATGTCAGTATTACTCTGTGAAAATGTCATGTTTTGCTTCAAATGTTCAATAAATATGTAAAGTAAAACTGTCATGAAGATGACATTTACAAATGTATAAAACATGGCAGTCTCTCCTTCTTTCACTTTATTAAAAATGCCATGTTTATTATGAAAATGTCACGAGAATGTCATTATTTACTGTGAAAATGTCAAGTAAAACTGTCATCTTGAAAAATGTAATGACATAATGGTGACATTACTTTCAAATTAGTGTTTAATAAAACAACTATGATGACATTCTGAGATTCAAATGATGAGAAAAATAATTTAGACATTCAAAAGAAGAAGAAAAACAAAAAAAAACATGGACGAAGAAAACATAGGAGTTTGAGAAGAAGTAAACAAAGGAGGAGATGGATGCAGGAGGAGGAGGGCCTTACCTGGGCATGTAGCAGAGCTATCATCGACGACTACATTTTTCGCAGCCATCATCGCTGCACACATTAATCGGAGCTGTGAAGAAAGTGAGACAACGTGTAAACCAGGGACAATTTTGCGATTCAATCCTATTTTTAGTCCTATCGAGTTAATCGGAAAACTAATGGTCCTACTTTTACATTTTTGATAAGTTTTAGTCCTATTTAGGTAAAACTCTCTTAAATGAATGGTTGTTTCCGTCATTTCGCAACCTTTCCGGCTTTAGATGTTTTTACTTGGACTGTAATTTGGAGGTCTGATCTGATCTAGTCCGATCTGGTCTGATAATGTCTGGTTTCTTTGTATTGTTATAACTATTCAAGTCTATTCGGGTCTGATATGATCTAATGTGATCTGGTTTGGGACGAATTAAAAACATCCTTTGTCTCAATCGTTCCCGAATTTCTTTTCCCTTTCAAGCTTTCTTACCGCATTTCACTTTTTGTTGTCTTCTTTCCCTTGCCGTCAAAAGGATCCATCCCTAATCGCCTTCTTATTCCTTCATCTAGTTTATTTCTCGTTATTTTTTTCTTTTACCACTTTTTTCTTCTAATTGATATCTTTATTCCATAGATTGATTCGTTCTTTTCAATTGAATCAAACTAAAAGCCGAGAAATGATACTCCTTCGAATTTTTATTTGATTGGTAAACAAATTTAGAGCTAAATTACTGAAGTGCTAGATGTCATTAGAGTGTTGCAACTTATAGAAGTCTCGTGAGTGTAAGAATGTTTTTACTTAGACTGTAATTTGCTGGTCTGGTCCGATTTGGTAATGTCTGGTTTATTTGTATTTTATTCTATCTAAATCTGATCTGATCTGGGATGAATTACACTTCCAAGTAAAAACATCCTAAAATGTGAGATAACATTTGTTATTGGCACATAGCTATAGGAACTTGTGTGGCATCCTTTGTACACAGGGAAGAATTTGATATAAATTGACAGTTATCTCCTAAAGTATTGGGATAGGGAAAATGTATAATGTGTGGACAAATATATGAAGATACAGGATTATTCATGTCCGGAATTTTCGGACAGGAGCCCCCGTCCGGCCTCCTCCATTTGGGGTCCTTCCCGGTGGTATTTTTTGCTCACATTTTTTGTGTATGTTTCTCCTCACGTCTAGTTCATCCATACCAAATTTCAGCAGAAAATTCAACTGGGAAGGTCGTCAAATGATTTTTGCAAGTTAATTGGTCCGGAATATATATTTTCCGGACCAGTTAACTTGCAAAAATCATTTGACGACCTTCCCGGTTGAATTTTTTGCTGAAATTTGGTTGATGAGGAACATACACAAAAAAATTGAGCAAAAAATACCACCGGGAAGGCCCCCAAAAGGAGGAGGCCGGACGGCGCTCCGGTCAGGAATTTCCTGACCGGAAGATTACTCTACGAAGATATACTATTTTCACCCCAAAATTGTCTTCTTACTTTGCTTAACATTCTTATTAAGAAAATAAAAATGTATGATTGTGATTGATGTAGAAAAATGGAAAATAATGTTAATCATATAATTCATTCTAGCAAGGAAAATGAGATATTTTTAATCATCCCAACAAAAGAAAGTTAGAAGAAAATAATGATATGGATAAGTAATTTACTTTTAAACTTATGTTACTTTGATGACGCATACACTCGTTAGTTAAGGAATAACATTATTCTAGTACTGTTTTGAGTAGAGGTGGACAAACAAATGAAAAATCGAAACAGACCAACAAACCGGCCAAGATTGAACCAAATGAAATCAAAACTGACTAACACATCGGCGTTCGGTTTAAACTTTTGAGTTTTTTTTGAAAACCAAATAACATATTCATTAGCAATCAAACTGCAGCAAGTCAACAATACAATCCGGTGGGGTACTGACCCACAAGCAATCAGACTCTAAAACGACTTGCCGTGCCAAAGCATGAACAGCCCGATTCGCTGATCGCTGCACATAGTGTGCTTTTAAATTAGCAAAACTAGCTATGACATGTCTAATCTCAGCAAAAATATTATCTTCATAAGAGATGTCGTCCGAAGCTGCAATCCTCTGCACCACCGAAAGTGCATCTGATTCGATAACCACTTCAGTCCTTCCAGCTTGGCCCGCCCAAATAACTGCCTCGCGAATCGCTAGGGCCTCCGCAGTGCTAACCGAGAAACGTCCCCGTTCCCGGACTCCTCTACCTGCAATAAACAAGCCATGATTGTCCCTTGCAACTAATCCAAGACCCCGCCAACCCCATGCAAGTGAACCGCCTCGTCGACATTTATTTTAATAATAACACCCGCCTCCGGGGGCTGCCATTTGCCCGGCTCGCCATCGCCTCTCTCGCATGCTGCCTCCCCGGACCCAACCTTCCTAACGCACTGCTGGAGTCGTGCCTCCTTCCACCCGGCCAGCATCGCTTCTCCCCGGGCCACAACTCCTCTCCAATTGGAGCTAATATTCTTCCATGACTTGTCATTTCTAGCTTTCCATAAAAATCTTTTGAGTTAAAAATCGACTGAATCGAAATCCATAAAAAACCAACAAACATGTTAACATCGACTGAAATCGATACAAACAGACGCAAATTAACCGAGCGGAAACTGACTTAAATTGCATTTCTCGATTTCACCTTTTCAGAAATCAAACTGATAAAACCGAACCAACACTCCTCATTGTAAGACAACCCTCATCCATAGCCCAGGCTCCATTGGCGATATGAGTCTTATGGATTATTGGATTGATTATTTGATTTTACGGAATTCATTCATCAGTGAAGTTGTACACTGAGGACACTCTGCAACTCTCTTCTACTGGTCCCAGTTTCATGAAAATTAACTTTCAATTGTCCGCTTCTCCCTGCAAAGCAAGATGTTCTCGCCAGCATTTTACTCACTCAATGCCGCATTTTATGAATCTCACATATCTGCTCTCTTTGTTAACCACCGTCCATCCGTATCTCCACGACACAAAAAGCACATTCAGGAACAAAGAAGTCGTGGTTGCAAAATCCGCACCCACGGTCAAGACTTGCGCCGCTCTTCGTCGCTCAGAGAACCATCTTTCGTTATCGATTCCATCTGTTCTGAT